GTTCTACTTTAATCAGCACCATCTTTTGCAGGGACCACTGAAACACAGGTATATAAAGGACAACATTATCTTTATATTCACACATACATCATTTCTGTTGTTGCATTAATTAAACAGGGTTCACTGCTTCACTGTTGTTGGTGATATCATGGGTTCTTCATTTATCTTAGTGAGATGTAGGAGTTAGCTTAGCTATAGGTCATTATTAAATGACAACAATCTTTCATTTTTATAAAGGTATTACAGAAACTTCTTAACTACAGAGCACCATGTTATTAGTCTGAATAATTATTCATAATTCGACAAAGAAATAATGTCCGCAGCAGTTTTTCTCAGATTAAAACGTAGTAAAAACTACCTTAAAATTAGTTTAAATATCAGAACATTTGAGGTGTATTTACAGATTTCTGACCTGAATGAAGCAGATAAAGAGAAGTAAAGAAGACACGATGCTCTCCGTCCAGTTTTAAGGGGGAATCAAATCGGTGCAACAACCGTGCCGTCTGGTTATCGGTCCCCGGAACAACAAAAACACGCGCGAAAGGTCCGCCTACCACTACCTGCCATAGTAGCTGCAAATGTGTTCAGCGTGTGAGATGATCACAGATTCTCTGCACGATCAGAAATGATTTCTTGTTTTAGGAAAATGTTGAATTAAATGGCGATTGAGTGAAAAAAGTCTATATTAGTAATGGGGTGTAAAAATGTGTTTGCCACACGCAAATAGTGTTTGTGTTGGTGTGTGTTGAGCCCGGTTTTTTAGGAAAATGCAGCGTCGTGGGGACCGGGTGCTCCTTGCTGGGCCCCACAACTTCACAGGCTGATTTTGGGTGTTGGGGTTGGGTTTGAGACCAAGGTGTTTAGGTTAGTTTTAGGGTCAGGTAGGTATCTGTGAGGTTAGCCTTTGGGTTTGTGGTCAGGGTTAGAATATAAAAAAATACCAAAAAATGAATGGAAGTCAATGGCTGTCTTTATTGGTGCATGAGGCTGAGAAACATTTCCACATTTACACGTCTTTAATAAATGACTGTAAACACAGAGGAACCATGAGTTTGGTAGAACTTATAACTTTATATATGAAATAGTTGATATGAAGAAGCAGCGCCGCAAGTTTCTGCTGCGGTGTGGGATATCATGACGTCTCTCATTCAGCTGCATGACTCAGCTCAGGATCTACTGTGAAACACCTGGCTGTAAAATGTTCTGTGATACCAAAACCAACCTGTCCTCAGTTCTCCTTGTGGTGGCGTCAACCTGCAGCACAGTTCCACAAATTTACGCAGCAACAAATCTGTTGTCTGCATCATGTGGAGCTGCGGAATCATCAGGTGAGCTGTTCAGAGTTAATCTGCTGAGCTGACAGTTGTTTGTTTTTATTTTCCCAGTGATAATTAAAATGTATTTTTAGACAATTCACACCTGTTTTATTCTCCTCAGCTGTTTGCACCTGGCAGGCGTGCGCTCTCTGACATGTCTATATCTACTGACAAAAATATAATTTTTTTACAGTTTACAGTGCACTAAGGTTGTTTGGATCATTCAAATCTCCAATAATACCTAGCTGCAGCTGCAGCCACCTGAAAACCACGCCCTCTGAAATGCAGCCATCTGTAAACTGCACCTTCATAAACCGCACCCCCATGAAAGTGTACATATACCAATGCACATATACACATATACATATTTATATACTTACATACACCGTAAAGTACAGTACAAAAATGAATGTAAATGAAGGTGCATATTAGTGATGGCAGTGTAGGTTAATTGTCCAAGTGACTAATAGCATCATGATGTGTTATACTGTCTAACTGCAGTTGGAATGAATGACCTACGGAAGCGCTCCGTTTCAGTCTCCGACTGAAGGAGCTGCTCAGCCCACCCACTCACCCACAGTTTCATGCAGAGGGTGGTGGGGGTTGTCCATGATGGCTGTCAGCTTTGCCAACATCCTCCTTTCACCCACCACTACAACAGGCCCCAGAGGACATCCCAGCACAGAGCTTGACCTCCGTATCAGTTTGTCGATCCTGTTCCTGTCCCTTTCAGTACATCCAGCCCC